AAGCAGTGGTATCAACGCAGAGTACTGGATTACGGTAGAAACTTGGAACATATGGTGTCACTGTGGAAAAAGCTGCCATTTCAAAAATTTTCAGAAACATGTGAAAACTTGTGTAATAAGGTTTTTAGGGACGCTGAGTTTAATACTCAACTATTCTCAAGATTGCGAAGCTTTCTAAACGGTATAACCGCACTTTTTAAGAACATTGAGAAAATGGCCGCTACTGCTTACCTCGCATAACTCTTCAGCGAAGCATCATAATAAGTTGAGAACTTTACAATTAGAATCAGAAACTCTAATTGGCCTAGTGTTAAAGTTTTCAGGCTATTTTGATTCCTTTCTGAGGCAAAATATGGCCTTTCATGGCCCAAAACCCTCTTCCAAGTTTCTACCGTAATCCTACAGTAATGGAGAGCAGTCGGCGATTCTCTCTATACTGCAAATCTAAGTTGAAGCCAGCTCTACAAAACGGCTCTTACCGCTTCTCGAAAGACCTCATAATAAGAGAGTTATTCTAAATCAAACAGTGTGCACATTATTTTGGGACACCCTGTATATATATATATATATATATATATATATATATATATATACATATATATATATATATATATATATATGTATATATTAGGTTGATGCATAATTCCTGCACCAAAATAGGTACAGACCGCAATAACTCGAAGTAATCATATATCCCAAGTAGGATTCGATGTATCATTTGATAGCGCAAACCTAGCTCTACAAGATAATGCTCAAATATCTACACCAGCTTTAATCCACGCGAAGTTTTGAGCCAAAAACTGGAAAAAACCATGCGTCCGAAAACCTTAAGACAGATCTTAAAAAAATTGTAACTTCGTTCAAAAAGCTCATACAAATTTTCTTCCTTGCTCACGCGTAGACGTTCCACGTAAGACATTTATCTATACGGTTGCTGTATTTTTTTCTCAACTAGCCGATGAGAAAACGAAGTTTTTCATGTTTTTTCCAAAACAATGCTGAGATGTTCTAGCACTGACAGTTGTATACTATAGAACCTTAGAAGCGTGAATGTGAATTTTCAGCTCTTTAGAGCAGCTGGTTTACGAGAAATATCGGATTTTTAGCAACTAGGCAAGAAAAATTTGGATAAGGAGAGCTAGATTCGTTATTTCTTGCGAACTAGCAGTTCTAGAAGGCTGAAAATGTAAAGTTTCACTGCTGACGGCATGTACTATACAACTATTGATACTAGAACATCTCAGCACTAATTAGGCAAAAACATGAAAAACTTCAAAAAACTTCGTTTTTTCATCGCCTAGTTGAGAAAAAAATACAGCAACCGCATAGATAAATGTCTTACGTGAAACGTCTACGCGTGAGCAAGAAAGAAAATTTGTATGAGCTTTTTGAACGAAGTTACAATTTTTTTAAGATCTGTCTTAAGGTTTTCGGACGCATGGTTTTTTTCAGTTTTTGGCTCAAAACTTCGCGTGGATCAAAGCTGGTGTAGATATTTGAGCACCATCTTGTAGAGCTAGGTTTGCGCTATCAAATGATACATCGAATCCTACCTGGAATATAGGATTACTCCGAGTTATTGCGGTCTGTACCTATTTTGGTGCAGGAATTATGCATCAACCTAATATATACAGGTTGTCCCAAAAAGATGTGCACACTGTTTGATTTAGAATAACTCTCTTGCTTTCATGTTTTTTGCCGAGCTTGAGGTACCATTCTTCAGAGCGAGGTTCAACTTAGATATACAGTATGGAGCGACTTATCAGCAGCGCTTCATTACTGTAGGATTACGGTAGGAACTTCGAGGAGGATTTTAAACCATTGAAAGCGGTATTTTACCTCAGAAAGAATCCAAACAAGCCAGAAACCCTTGAAATGGATTAATCGAGGTCACTGATTCTAAATATGAAAATTGCACGTCAGTACAGTGTTTTATTCATGAGTTATTTCAGATCTAGGGTGACAACTGATTTTCCAGTGTTCGTCAAAAATGTGAATACGCCATCAAGAAAGCTCGAAAAACTGGTGGAAAGTTATGAAGTGAAATCAGCACGCACAAATTTTCAGATTTTTTTGAAATTATTTCGCCAAAAGGCCTAATCCACGGTGCCGCTGTATGCTGAAAGTTCATACCGTAATCCCACAGTAATGGAAAGCGATTGGTGATTCGCTTCATACTGTAAATCTAAGTTTATCTTCGCTCTACAGAATGGTACCTCAGGCTCGGCAAAAGACATGAAAGCAAGGGAGTTAATAGCGATCAAACAGTGTGCACATCTTTTTGGGACACTCTGTATATGGAATATAGAGTTCATTAATGGTTGATGATAGAGAAATCATCAACACTCTGGACGAGAGAGAGGAAAGTGAGATCTGGTAAGATCTTGATAAGTCTAGACACATGTGAGGTTGACTAGTAAGTTAACGAGCACCTATGTAAACAGAATAATGACAAGAGCTGCAAATAAACTAGACATCCACGCAAAAGTAGGATAATTTACAATCATTGTAATAGGAAAAGCTTCTGTTGCTGGCACTGGATTGCGCTTCGGCGTTGCTCGTCGTTGTCGTCTTGTTCTCCTCGTTGAATTTGAATTGATAGTAGAAGCATTACTGACGATCATCTTTTCGGCAGGCGTCGTTCTGATAAGAATTGAACTTTTGTGATGTCTTCTCCATGATGCTTTCGTCATCCTTTTCACTGCTTGCTTCCTCAGATAAGGCGATGTGGTGTGGTACTCATTCCACTCGAAATCATCGCGGAATTGTCGGAAAAGTTTATTAGGGAGCGGACCGTATCCAGCCAACGTTGTCTGTCTGCTTGAGCTTCACTGAAGATGGAAGCCCTCATTTTTTTGGATCGTCTTCCTGTTGATAAAGGAAACTGTTGTGGTTTTGTTGGCCGAGATGCTTGTTGTAGCGTTGTTATGCAACCGAAAGTGCAAACGGATTTTGTTGTAGGTGGTGCGACTCGTCCCTGATATGACGTATTCGAAAATTGTTGGAGTCAAAATGAGCCCTAATGGGAGCTTGAGCACACTCTCTTATTGCGAAGGGTTACAAGATTTATGAGGTCTTGCCCGATGATCAGGTCCGGTAAAAAGCTTTTGTGGGAAAGCGTATCCTGAGCAATTATCAGCTTTTCATCACCGATGAAGCGCAAGTCTGCTTTCGTGAGACTTGCTCTCTGCATGTCGGTCGTCAGCTTCTGTTTTGTATGCAATGACAACTTGAGCTTCTCGGAGCTGTGAAGACTGTTCAAGGTGATGTGCACTTCAGATGAGTCGAATTGCTCTTGGTGTTCGCCCATTCCTGATGTAGTAAAAGAAGTAGTTCGAGCGATCGAAAGCTTGAGTTCTTCATAGGATCCTGCAATGGAGCTTAGTTGCGCCCCGGATTCAAGAAGTATGGTCGTTGGTTGGTAATCCCACTGTGCTTTGTTGAAAATTAAGGCCGAAGCGATTTGCAGGACCATTGATTGTGTGCCAGTGGAAATACGTCTGGATTGTGGATTTTTTGGATTTTGATTTTTGTTCAGCCTGCAAGCCTTGTACGACGTATATATTACTCATCTCGCTGCGATCCTGGTTCGTATCATGCTATGGCCAAGAAGTAGGTCAATCTTCGTGATTGAGTGCAGAATCTTGGTGCGCGGAAAATCCACTGCGTCGTCTTGCTTCTGACATGCAAAGAGATTCGTGTGTGATCCCTTGCATTTAGGACACACTCCATATTCGCGCAAGCGTTCGAATTGTGATTACTTGTAAAACACCTCCAACATACTCCTTGGTTTGTTGCTTCAAGACGTCGAGCTTCTGATGTGATGTACTTCTGGCACGTGTAAGGCGAATGTAGCTGTCCACACGAACACGAGCGTTTCGGTTTTGAGAAGTGTTCTGTTCCTCCGCATCTGATAATCTTTTCATTTTCTTGGTTATTCGAGTGGTAGGAAAGAGTTTTATTCCGTTGGAAAGAGAGTTCCCGATGTTAGCAAGGTCGTCTCTCGCAGAGAAATGATGTCGTCGATAGCGCTTAGCATGTCGGCAGTTTTGAATGAATCATCTTGTGCGGCTTCGTTTTGGAGTGCGGTTTGTACAAATGGATTCGAAAAATTTGGAGAAGATTATTCGACGCCAAACTCTGTCTGTGTCTATCTGTATCTATCTGTCTATCTATTTCTCTCTCTGTCTCTATCCGCATTTTTGCCTGCAGACGGGGGTTCGAATAGCCGCTGCACTATTTTGGACCTAATGTGGGCTGGTTTTCGAATCGCTTCTTTAGGGCCGCATGCACTAATCTCCCGCTGGGGAGGGGATCGCAGCTTAAAAGAAAGCTTCATATTCTGAAGCTCCAGATATCTGGATTTCACGCTGCCTACCTGTCCGTAAGTATTTCTACTATCCTTCACTATGAACATGTTGAACAGGAGCGAGAAGCTGTACGAACCGCATTTTCCAGCTTTTGTATGATCCCTGATGATCCCCGGCGCTTTTCTTTCAAGTCATTTTTCCTTCTCCAAAGTTAACGAAAACCTTCCAAAGTTGTACTGAACATCTAACACAGCAGTGCTAATCATGTTGTTGATGAGAACAAATGAATTTTTGGAAACTCGATTTTTTCGGCAAACCCCAAATTTCGACCAGTGGATCATCGAAAATTTTATGGGTTCAAAACATCATTTGTTCTTATCAGCAACATGCTTAGCACTGCTGGGTTAGATAATCTGCACAACTTTGAAAGTTTTTCGTTAAATTTGGAGAAAAAAATGACTTTAAAGAAAAGCGCCGGAGATCATCAGGGATCATGCAAAAGCTGGACAATGCGGTTCGTACAGCTTTTCGCTCCTGTTCAACATCTTCATAGTGAAGGATAGTAGGAATACTTACGGATAGGTACACAACATGAAATTTAGGTATCTGGAGTTTGGATATATGAAGCTTTCTTTTGAGCTGCGATCCCCTCCCCGCGGCGATGTTAGTGCATGCGGCCATTAGTGTTGTTACCATCCACTCATAGTTTTCTGGCACTGGCTTTATGTCCCGTATTGCTGTTACGGCTGAACCTTGCAAGCTCTGCTTGAGTAGCATTATTTTCTCGACCGTGGGCAAGTCACTGCAGTTGTGTACAAGTGACTCATAGAGTGCCCCAAAACTCAGCAAACTCCTCTTGATTTCCGCTGAAAAGCGGTAGTTTTACAGTCGGTGGTCTAATTGACCGACAATTTTGTTCAGGGACCCTATCAACCTATCGATTTGATGCGTTGGATTCATCTGAAGTGCTTGTGACTCTACACCAGTATCATTGTTGACTTGGATTTTGATCATTTGCGTTTGGTACAAAATGACTTCTGCATTTGCAGTGTCTGCCTCAACAATGTGTGCAAAGGCTTCCGCGTCTTGTAAGGTTTTGGAATACCTAGACTCATTTTCGAATTCCTCAATCTCCTGTAGCAATTCTTTTTGCTCAGTCCTGGACTTTGCATTTGCGTACTGCTGCTCCATTCTTTCTATTTTGGATTGCAGCGATTGTATACCTTCTCTGAACAGCGGAAGGCATTTTTTCAGTCGGATCATGTTTTCGGAACTGTGTTTGAGTCGTTCCTGATCATCTTCCATGTACACGATTTTTTCACCGTACTTCTCATATTTTTGCAGTAGAGTCGAGAGTGCGGTTGAGCTCTTTGATATGGCTAATTTGTAGAAATGAAGCGACATCTTTATTCTGTCAGATATTAGGTTGGCTGAAAAGTAAGTTCGGTCAAGTTTACACGCTCGCAAATTGCTGTGTTGCTGAAATCTACAAGCAAATATGGTATCATTTGAAAAAGCAAATCACGGTGAGCAGTTTGATATATGCCGTGCAAGGAGTCATAGCGTTACCCTTGTTTTAGAAGCTTTACAAGATGCAAGATCAAAAATTTGGCATCCGCTTCTGCATGCTCTACGACTATAAACAAGAAAAAAGTGCAGCAGAATCGCACCGAACGCTAGTCCAGGCGAGAATGTTGTAAGTGAGAGGCAGGGCCAGAAGTGGTTTAAACGTTTCCGAGAAGGTGACGAGAGTCTTGATGACGGCGCACGTAGAGGGCGCCCCGAGACTCTGAGCGATAGCGTTCTGAAGGAAGAGGTGGAAGCGGATCCGAGTCAGTCGACGAGGGAACTTGCTGAAAGATTTGGCTGCACTCATGGGACAGTAGAGAAACACTTGCATGCCCTAGGAAAGAGCAATAGGTGCGGAAAATGGGTGCCACACGAACTCAGTGGTGCGAACAAGGAGGCGAGAACCAGGGTGTGCCGAACTCTGCTGAATATGTCGAAAACGAGCCATTTTTATGAAGCCATTTTGACTTCAGATGAAAAATGGATTTATTTCGATAACCAACGCAGAAAAAGGCAGTGGCTGAGTAGGAATGAGCAGCCGAAACCGACCCCCAAACCTGACGCACATGGCAAAAAAACCATGCTCTGCGTCTGGTGGAATATCAGAGGTCTGGTGTATTTTGAGGTGCTCCCACCAAGTCAGCCAGTAACAGCAGACCTATACGCTGAACAGCTGGAAAAAGTGGACCGGGCACTGCGACGTCAAGGGGAAAATCCGAGGACTATAAAATTCCTGCACGACAATGCCCGACCCCACGTCGCAAACATTGCGCAGCAGAAAATCGAGGAATTGGGATGGCAGCTTCTACCTCACCCGCCATATAGTCCAGACTTGGCCCCATCGGACTTCCATCTGTTCAGATCAATGCAACATTACCTGGACGATAAACGATTCGAAACGCTCGACGACGTGAAAATTTGCGTGAGCCAGTACTTTGACTCACAACCGCCCGAGTTCTTTGTCAAAGGGATCCGTTCTTTGCGGGAAAAATGGAGGAAGGTCATTGAAGCGAATGGAGAATACCTTATTGACTGAAGTTTGTTCGCAGAGATTTTTTAATAAAAATAAATTCATGCCCAAACCGAACTTATTTATTAGCCAACCTAAATAGATTTCTCTGAAGAATGATTGTTTTTGCTGCGTTAGAAATGCAAAAGTAGGCGCTGTAGTGGCCTTTAGCAAGTAAATGCTTTTTGCTACGCAAAAGTTTTAGGGTTATGGTGGACCCAAGGTCAGTTTGGCTAACCTTTTGCGCTGTCGCTAGGGACTAAACGCAAGCAATTTAGGGAGCTAGGTTCCAAGGATAGACTAGGCTAGCCTGCGTGTTGATTCTAGAATCGAACATTTTATCGGGCTCACGTGGGCCGATGCACCAGAAAATGTGCCGGCTTTCAGGCGTAATGGTGGGCCCGTACAAATGTAAAACACAACGAAAGTTATAGTTAGATAGTTTATTGAGCTCAACAGCACGCGGTGGTGCAGCGGTAGAATTATGTGTTGATAATGGGCGGAGCCAAACGCTATGCACGCTTATATCATATTAGGTCACCAAATGGTGACATTAACGGTGCTTATGCGAATAACATGGAGAAGCGATATGGATGAAACGGGTTGCCAACAATATCGGCACAGCTTCTGAAGTAGGTGAACAGAAAAACCCCATGTTCTGACGCCCTCTTCTATGATTATGAATTGTGGTGTGGAATTGTGGTGTGGCCCGTCCTTTGTTTTCCTAAATAATCTAAATTTGTTCGTTTCTGAAGTGTAATTTCTAGGGTGATTTTAGCGTTTAGGTAATTGTTTTTTGGAAGTTGAATCAGCTATTTGCTTCAAAGGGTATCCTCAAGTCTTTGTGTTGTGTCAGTGCTCTATTCGCAATAATACAGCAGAATTTTTGTGTTCGATGTCAGTGCATTAGCACAAAACGGTTCTGTTTTTATAATTATAGCTCAGTGCTATGCTTCATTTTTTCCAAGAAGGCAGCGGAATTTTTTGTCAGAACACTGCGGAACCCCACGTCATCAGTTTTATTTTTTGTTCTTTGTGATTGTTTATTCCGTCAAAAACCTGTTGGGGGTCCTTATTGCAGCTGTTAGCTTCCAAAAGCCAACCTTCGCAGACGAGAATCCTCTGAACTAATAAGGTGGGATATACGATGGGCAAATTATCGAAACACTCTGCATTATCGGCATGAGCAGGGCCATATGCTAATTGTAAGAGGAAGTAGTACTCCCCCTGCAAAACAAATTTTTTAACTTGCGCGCACCTAGTTCTAATGTTTGCAAAGACTTGAGATCACTCGTACTATGCCTACGTTTCTGCGCTGAGCGATTTCATCGTCGCGATCTCATCGCCCAGACGAGAACTTCTCCGGCAATGACATCGCGGCGACGAAATCGTGGACACTATGCCCGTTGCCACACCGAAAACTTATAATCACGAAAGGCCTAGGGCATAGTGGTCACGATTCCGTCGCGCTGCGTCTGTGGAACGCAACTGTTACGCACTAATTGCATTCTCTCGTGTTTGCTACGGCGATTGTGGTAGTCGTCCGGCGCGATGAATCGCAGACCCTTTATGGCTAGAGCATAGTTCTGCAGCGATAATCGCAGCGATTTCGGCAAAATCCAGCGATGTCGCGTCGCGCGTGCTGCACAGGCGACTGAGCGATATCGTTGAGATGCGAGGGAGATCTCGAGAATCTTTTAGGGATAGGCAGTGATGTTTCAGTTGTTTTTGTTTGAAAAAGAAACTGAACTTGTTTGAAGTATTGTGCAAAGATACTTTAGTTTTGACGCTCTTTCCTAATCCTAAAGGCAGCGGCTCGGCAGAATGAAAACTTTGGGATATTCATCGTTCTCGGTTCTCCTGGATGAGCTAAGTCCAAGACGGTGCTTTGCAGCTTCATAAGATATCAATAACTCGCTTTTCCAGACGTGAAAAACGCTATTCAAGGGTGGACCGCGTATCTGCCCTCTAGAGCGCGATTGGCTCGTGAGTGGAGATACTGTACCACCGCACCCACGGGCCAATCGCGCTCTAGAGGGGGGATACGCGATCCGTCCCCAAATAGCGCTTTTCACGTCTGGAAAAGCGGGTTACTGATATCTTTTGAAGCTGCAAAGCACAGTCTTGGACTTAGCTCATCCAGGGAACCGAGAATGATGAATATTTCAGAGTTGTCATTCTGCTGAGCTGCCTTTAAAATGTCGGATGACTTGTTTTCGAAAGTGTAAGCAATTTTGACGAGATGGTTTTTTGAAGTGTTTTCTGGGTGATTTTTGTGTTAGACTCTTTGCTTTTCGCAAAATTAGATTATCACTTTGTTTGTTTGCATATTCTCACATATCGCAAGTATGAATACAGGAGATTTCTCGTCCTTACTAGTGCACCAACACCAAACGGTTATGCTTGTGTTTTCGCTATCTTCGCAGTGATGCTGTGCTTGACTTTTTGAAAAGGCTTTGATGTGGATCTTTGCTAAAGCATTACAAAAGACGTATAGGGCACTTGAAAAGTCGTGACGATGGCGACCGCGCGCGACACGCACGCACCTCCCGGCAACCTCATTTTCTTGGTTTCAACTCTAGTCGAATGTTTTTTTTGCTTACGTATGATAATATTAGGTTGTTACATAAGTTTTGTTACACTTTCTTCGTCTTCATCTGGAAAGCTCTAGAAAATTCGGCAGAATTTCATATTTGGCATATATGGGGAGGGGATAAAAGGTCATTCGCTGGAGCCATTTATGCCCTCACCACATAACTTGCAGAAGATATAAGGGCAACTCTACAGGGGCACTCCATCCTCCATTTTCTTCTTTATTTTTCTAAAAAATCTCTTATTCTTCTTCCCCAACTTTTTAGATTTTTTATGAACTTCTACGAGCATTGGTAGTAACTACTGGGCAGTTTGGAAGTTCAATCTCTTCAGTACCAAAATTGGAAATTTGCCAGAAAAATCCGAAAAATTTCAGAAAACTCGAAAATTTGATTTTTTTATGTGTTACGTGTGTATATCAAAAATCTGCAAAATTACACACACAGTTCGAAGATGAAGAAAAATCATATGACAAAGTTATACGGATCTTATCACTTGAGTGCAACAAAACTTATGTAGCAACCTAATATTTAGACACTGGAATTGGCTGAGCTGCACGTTGAGGTGATGCCTTCTTGTATAAGCGTTTTATGCTCCTATGGGCGCAAAGTCCGCAGTAAAATCCATCGTCACGATTTTATGAATGAACTATACCAAACTGTTCCACTTAAAAATTTGGTGAAGAGTGTCTTGATAGTAGCTGTTGGATCGCAGAGGCCGACATTTCCAAGTGAGATTCACTATGCTAAGAACCGGTAAGCCGGTGAAAATTATATTTGTTGAAAGGTGGGCGAAATGTGAGAATTCTTTGTACTCGATTTCATCACGATCGGCATGAGGGCATTATGCTGAGAGTGAAGTGAGTGGAATAACGCATATCGCACGAGAATAGTCTGCTCAGTTTGCGTGCACCTGCCCTGTGCAAAGATATGAAATCGCGAGCTCTATGCCCACGACTTCGTCGTCGCGTTTCCATCGCTCAAACCATCGAAATTCTCGGCGATGAAATCGCCACGACGAATCGCGAACACTGTGCCCGTTGCCAAAGGCCTAGGGCATAGTGTCCACGATACCGTCGCGCTGCGATTCCTAAATTACGACAACTGTTACGCACTCATTGCATCTGAGTGTCTGCTACGTTGCTTGTGATACTCGTCCGGCGCGACGGATCGCGGACCCTTTTTAGCTAGGGCATAGTTCTGCAGCGATAATCGCCGCGATTTCGACAAAACTCAGCGATGTCGCGTCGCGCGTGCTGCACGGGCGACTAAGCGATATCGCTGAGGTGCGGGGGACATCTTGAGGATTTTTTATAGACAGGCGCTGATGTTTCAGTTGTTTTTGTTTGAAAAAGAAATGGAACTTGTTTAAACTAGATGTACAAAGATACTTCTAACTTGGACGCCTTTTCCTAACCTTAAATAGTCGGATGACTTGTTTTTCGAAAGTGTAAGCATTTTTGACGAGATGGTTTTTTGGATTGTTTTCTGGGTGGTTTTTGTGTTGGAGCTTTGCTTCTCGCAGAGTTAATACATTATCACTCTGCTGGTTTGCATATTCTTAAGTTCCGCTATCCGTATAACAACACCAAACATTTATGCATGTGTTTTCGCTATCTTCGCAGTGATGCTGTGCTCGACTTTTTGAAAAGGTGTTCAATGTGGGTCTTTGCTAAAGCACTACAAAATCCACGTACTAGCTTGTTTTACCTAAAAATTTGGTGAAGAGTGTCTTAATAGTAGCTGTTGACTCGCAGAGGCAGACATTCCCAGGTTAGATTCACTGTGCTAAGAACTGGTAAGCTCGTGAAAATTGGATTTGTTGAAAGGTGGCAAAATGTGGGAATTCTTTGTACTCGATTTCATCACGATTGGCATAAGGGATCTATGTTGAGAGTGAAGTGAGTGGAATAACCATACCGTGCAAGAATACTCTGCCCAGTTTGCGTGCACCTGCCCTGTGTTTGCAAAGATACGAAATCGCTCACACTATGTCCATGCACGCGCGACGGACGATTTCGTCGTCGCGATCTCGTCGCCCAAACCACCGATTTCCCCGGCGATGAAATCGCAGCGACGAAATCGTGGACACTATGCCCGTTGCCAAAGGCGTCAAAATCATAGCATCATAGTTTCTCTGCGCAAATGCTATAGATGAGATGAGATTTCCTTCTTATTCGAACAAGGACAAGCTGGGACTTGAATGCATATCAAACGCTCGGAAATTCCTTCGCATCTCAGCGAGCCTGGTCGCCAGTGCAGCACGCGCGACACGACATCGCTGAAATTGCCAAAATCGCGGCGATTTTCGATGGAGAACTATGTCCTAGCTAAAAAGTCTTCTGCGATAAGTCGCGCCGAACAGCTACCACAACCGTCTTGTCAGACGCGTGGACATGCAAAAGTACGTAACACTTGTCGTTTCACAGAAATCGTACAGCGACGAAATCGCGACCACTATGCCCTAGGTCTCAGGGGATCAAAACACCGAAAAATTCTTGTCTATTCAGCAAATCGCTGTTTTCTTTCTATTATACTAGCAAATAAGAGCAATAGGGCCTTCAGAAGATGGACAGACAAAGAGGATTACAAGTCTCTAGAGCACCGGCGATGGCGATACCAGATTTGCGTTCCAAGGGGAGGGGTGACAAACATTTTCGAACATTGCGTGGCCTCAGCCAAAAGAAAAAATTTTGGGATGCTTTCCAGAGTTTCTGCGGGCCCATAACCCTGAAATTTTCGAAAAAGGAGGCGGCGCAATGTTATAAACATGTTATGTTTGTCAAAAATACACAATCTTTGAACGCACATTTATTACATTTTTTACATACAACGAACAGCACATAAACAAGTTTCAAGAGTTTGACTCCGTAGTCACAATGTAAAATGTATTTCATACAATACCGCCGGGAATAAGTGCAGGTAAAGCTCAGCGCAGCCGTATAACATAGTGCTTGATTAGCTATGATGCTCAAGTGCAGATATTATGTACGTAAAGAGAAATAGAACAGCTAATCCGAAAAACTATTGATAATCATTTCATCTGATTTTTGAGATACTGCAACAACTGGTACAACCCTGGCTTATAACCATCGATATATTCGAAGTTAGCACCACTATTTTCTCGTGACTGTATTATACGGAAACGCAAAACGGAAGGTGTCACGAAGCACGGAAAGTAGGCCTAAACTGTGTTGGTTCGACCACTTCAGATGCAACTATGATGTTTACCTGAATATTGACTTCACTTTGATTTCCCGAGACCTTACAAGTATGGCATGCCTCAAAGTTCCCAGCGTCCGATAGCGAGTCCCGACCGTCACCTACTCCCATCGATACCTGCACACTAGCATCAGTGTTGGAAAGTCTGAATACATATTTTATTTACTCAAAAGCACAATATTTCCGCAAGATTTGGGTTTTTGCACCGTATATATAAAGCTGAATGTCTGTGTGTATGTCTGTATGTCTGTGCGTATGTGCGGAATGGGAAATTCCATTTCTGGACAGATCCGGAACGGACTCTCCACACATACACTTCGGGGCGGAGTGAGTGTTGTACTTTTCGTTATGGATCGACATCAATTTTGTCGATTTTTTGCAAGCTTTAGCCGTGGTGTGGGACTTTGCGCAAGAGATAAGCGAGCATGCTGATTACGATTGCAGTATTAGTGTTTAGAATTATCTACCTACATAATTTAATCGATTTTTTGCAAAGTTTGAGCTATAGGGTGGAAGCTGGCACAAGAGGGTAAGTGAGCATTCTGAATGCGAAAACATGGTGGGATAGGGAATTAGCATGTAAAAGTAGGTCGGGACAGGAAAATGTTATACAGGAAGAGGAATGGTGACCTTATCATAGGTGTAGACAGGGTCCGGTGGAGCCGGTATGCCGGCTAGTATGCGCATAATTCAACAGCATTGGATGGAAACACTCTTGCGCGCTCAACAAGCCCTTGGACACAAACACCATTTGGGAAGAAAGAATTATTACTTTTCTTGAATTCAATTCTAGGCGCTCGTCATGAATTTCGAACCGCTTCGTAAGGAAGCGTGAGGATTTTAGGAAACGAAATTTGAATAATCAAATAGCAATACTTATTTGGGTAAGGGCAATGAAAATAATGAAAATGAGTGTGAAAGATGAGGGAACTCTACCTCTTGTATGACTTTTACCAAAAGCTTGTTATGAATATCAAAGTGTTCAATGCACAAACTACTGCAACGCGACTCCGTATGTCAAAAACTTCTCTGAACCTCTAACAAAAAGTGCTGAATGCCGACCTTACTCGCTTCACTTCAGAATGCATCAGCTGGGCTTCAGCTCGCCGCTTCGCTCGTTGATTAGTCCAAGTCACAGTTCTTGCAGAACAGATTAGCTGAAATGGAATAGTTTGATTATATCTGATTTCCCGCATTCATCGATTTGTAAACAAATAATCCATGCGGATAGTAATCATACCATATCTGAGCACTCGCTCTCTGTATCCACTCCGAGGTGCTCCAAATGAGATTTAATCCACCGTAAAGGAGATGTGATACGTTCGCTGGGACATTGCAAGAAAAGCGAAGAGTACTTTTTCTGAATCAAAAGTTGCAGGTGATCATTACATAGTTATCAGCTTACATCTTCCAGTTGAATATGTGGCAGAAATGTCCATGCTAAAACCCATCTCTGAGTTCTGCCCTGAGATAAAGTGGAGACAGTGAAACGAACGCCATCTATTCTCGATAGACGTCTCGATAGTGATGTAATGCTGCTCTTCTTTCCTAACATTGTAGTGTATATGCTGAAAGAGATTACAACAATGCAAGCAATTCTCTCAAGATAAGATTTATTAGAGATCTTTATATAGATCATATGGGTTCCACGTATGAAAAAATCAAACTCGTTCAGCTCAAATTCCGGAGCAAAATTTTACTTACTATATATACTTTAGCTTCGTCAATTTTACTTTGCTCTATCTCCATCTTGAGGATTGGAATGACGTCAAGATGTGATAGATTCAGTCAAATTCAATATGAGCTGGTTTTCCTTATAACCCCAAATTTCCCCACTCTATAAACCAATCGCCTTTGAAAACTCAATCGCAAGTTTTTTAACTATCTGATGAAAGTTTCCTTGGTTTTTCTGCCTCCACTATGAGCTTTTCAGTCGTCCTTCATTTTAGCAGTAAGCCAATCCTAGTGTTCTGAAGTATCGCCAAGATCTCGAGCGTTTCTAGGCTAACTAAAAAGAACTATACCGAAAGGAGAGGGCCGCCCTAGCGCTGTATACTGGGAAGCCCACCCCCTCCCAAGATTTCGCAAGCAACACTTATAGTTTGAGTAGGATCAGCCACATCACCCCGTTGATAGCTGTTGCATCGCAAAACGTTGAATTACGACTTTAAATGGACAGTGAACAGATCAGCGAACAATACTTCGATTCGTAAGCAGTGAACCCAAGACGCATCACACCACAGTTTGTAGCAATAATAGGAATCGTTGAATAGAAAAGCAAATGACTAACTCAATTAGCTTCACCTGACTTGGGTTTGGAGTAACACGCTATCATCAATAAGACGACCGATGAACGCAACTTCACCACCCTATAAATGAACAGATAATTTCCAGAGAAAAAAGTTTGCTTTTGCAATCAACAGAAATTGTAAACTGCAGATAATTGAATGAGATATAGAGCCGATAGAGAGACTATTGAAGTCCTACCTCGAACTCTAATTCACCTCGTCGAGCCAATGTTGCTGAACGTGGAGGTGCACGCTCGGCTTCCTCAGAGTCAACAGTGCATTCATTCAGAAGGGCGCCAGAACGTTTGTCAACGGAGAATCTCTAAAAACGAATTATCTAGAGCTTGCAAATCAATAACATAATCCGAAGAATTACAAAATAATATCTGACTTATGGTACAATGAAAAACAGTACCTTATCAGTTTCACAAGATTCGAAAAAGGGAGGATTGCACATGCAAAATGAAAACTGAAGATCGTGAAACTGTCGTGCTAAATCCTAAACATATTTGGTTTGATTTGTATGAGCATAAACTGCAGACACACCCTGATCAATGACGGCGAGTGTTCGCTGACATGAAGAACTTTAACAAGATGGCCAAGTTTGTTGCGAGCCACGTTATTATTGGCGACTCTGGCCGCTGCTTCATCAGCCTCTGTTGCTATGAATTTCCATCCAGCCCAGCGAGCACCGAGCAATGCATATATGCAAGATGCACCCGTACCTATCAATTTCGACATTATGGTCAGCCATTTGATGGGAATTAACTTCAATATAGTTGCAGAACCTAGAAACTGACCTATGTCTATTCCAATTACATCCTTTTTGATTTGGTTGAGTTCCAATAAGTCTTCAACAAAAAGTATATAATTTAAACGCTGAGGAACACGGGGAACCAAACATCCGTGTGGTAAATCAACCTAATGATTGTAAAGTGAGAGAGCGGCAAGAATGATGAGATCGTCACCTCGAGATCAAAATCTCTCTTGAGCAAAGCCTTCGCTAGCGATCGCACTGCCCCATCTTCTTGGAAATTTACGAATACCTGAAGAAACGTTTTAGGCGGCATTTATCCACCCATTTATCGAAAAAGTAGGAAAAAAGCACTCAACGCGCGTCATTGCGAGCACAAGCAGTGGGCCATACACAGTCAAAACTGTTAATCTACGGCAAGTCACCGTAACGCAGCAAAAAGCAAATATGTCCAATACAGTGGTCATTTCTGCCCAGTCCAAGATTCGTTAGCCGGATTAAGTTTTGTAGTCCTTGAAGTCGCGGTAGTGGAAAAAATTCAAAGGAACTTAGATCGCTTGGACATGCATATCGCTTGAACTCATTTCAAAAAGAGCTCGAAATCATCAAAAGACATGCCATCCAGCTTAAAAAGGGCTTGAAATCGACAGAGACATGCACCCAAATGATGAACAGTAAAGTCTTCGTAATACATTTGGGAAAAAGACGAATCGTTCAAATGATAATTGAAAATACATACAGCTTACCTTGCCATTATTGCCAAGGGTACAGTGGGCTCGAAAGTCAGCAAAACGTGTTGCCAGATCAGTGAAATCCGGTGGCTTGTCTTTATATGGGTTGCGAGGATGCATATAACGATTCAATGACATTTCGAAATAACGTCAGCTTATCCTCATCCTGTGGCAGTATCTAAAGAGCGACATTTTCAAGGAAAATCTGCGAAGAAACAAACAAGTTGTGATAGACCTTGTGGAAGGCACCCAATAATAGAGCCTAAGTGCGGGTAAAAAACTTGATTCGTTTGAAAGGAAACTGCAAATTTCAGTGATGCAAGGCAGGAGAACTTCCATGAATGAAAAACGAAATCAAAAGCTTGGCTTCAAAAATGGTTTCTGAAAGGAGTAATAGATGCCCCAACATGGCATTACACGAATACCGTGCCTATGTACTACTTTCAAAACAGCCCTTGGCAGTAAAGTGAAAATGATAAGAATGTAAAGCATGCATGGCAAACTGATTTGATGACTCAAGCTCTTGTAAACTTGCTACGCATACGGGGCGACTGATTCCGCGCCCCATTTCGCGCGATTCGCCAGGCGTCCTGCAGCGCGGTAGCCGCGAATTCCACGAATTTTGACGTTTTGTTTTTTGCTTTGCTTGTGTCATTGTTAACATGGCGAAAATCTGCTGTATTATCACTGTGTATGTGTTTTTTTGTTGGCATTGGATGTAAATCTCGTTCTCAATCGACTTTGTAAGCGCCACTGCATTTCTAACGTATTTATGTATATTGAGATTTCTGATTATGGTATCATTTGTTTTCTCGCTTCTGCAAAATTCGAAGGCCTATCACATCCTGCTGTTCTCTCCTTCTCCTCATTCGACTCGCCCTGAGACAATTTGCTGGTTGCTCATTGCTTATATCTGGTTTGCTTATTCAAGAAAACTTTACAGAGAATGAGGGCCCCTGAACGGGTGCCAGATCCTTTGAAGCAGAAGTTTTTCCATTCAAATGAGGGGTTTGAGATAGAGTATGCTAAACTCATTCATACAAAAGATGATAGTGACCTCACTGTGAAACATTTAATGGATTGCACTGGTGAGTAACTATGTAGTGGTCTTGTAACTATTACGGTTTCATCCCTTGATTTTAGGAGAATTTACTAAACTTATCGCATTGTTCTGCGGAAACTCTCTAGTAATACGGCAACTACGCGATGGAGGAATGCAAGCACCGTTTATTTTTGGTGACGATCTTGTGGTGCAGGATGTAGACTACCTTCGCAGCGCAGGTTTGTCGTTTTCCCTCCGTTTTTTGCTACATAACTGCAATTTCTAGACGAAGGATTTGAAATCGTGGTAGCCCTGAACAGCGAAAAACTAAATGTTCATCCCAACTGCGTGGCTTTGCTATCTTGGAATGGAGCTAAGTTAGTGCTTTTGAGGAAGCTCAAGATCGAAGAGGAGGTAGCTGCATCTCTTTTCTATTTACTCGTTGCGTCTTGTTACTTTTGTATTCCATTCTTTTCTTTTTTCTGTAATTATTATTTTTTTGTTGTAATAATATTTTTTTGTTGTAATAATAGTGGTGCCGGGTATGTACTGTTGTATTTTCATACATGGGTGGGAAGCTATAGTAGCAAAGCCCATGGAGTGGAGTGGCTGAAGTACGGTTTTTCAATGACATTCGAGTCCAAAGTGACGTGTGATGAAGAGGGACACGAGAAGTCAACGGCATTTTTTCGTGTTCAAGTTTGGGCTGTTGAACTGAGCATAAAGCTCTTCGAATGAAGTCACTAGTGTTTTAACGTACATGCCAAGTTTTGAGTGGTTTGAAGTTAGCGGAAAATTTCATGACGCAGCTGTGCGAGTTCCCATCATCTATGTTCACTTCTAGTAGTCAATATACTTGGCACAAAATCGTCTACTGCAAGTGTTTCTGCACAGCTTTCCGCTAGCTTTACAGAACTCAAGGCTTGACAAGTTTGGAATTTTAAACCCCCATAATTTCCACGGGAATGTTGTTCCGCAAAGAAAGAGAGCATATCTGAAATCAGCGTTTAGAGATGCTTTTAGTGATATATATCTCGCCTTCACCTGTCAACTCAAGTTGGTATTCTTCCTTTAACACGTTGACGACAACGCGCATTTTCAGCTGTCTGCCTTGTGGGACAATGCCTTTCACGAAAAAGTTGAAAATTTTCAGCTAAAATTAAGCAGATTGTCATCTACAGTGAATTTACGGTAATTTTGAGGAGCAGAAAAGAAATGCGGTAGTAACCCGTAGAATCAGAGCGTAAGAGAACTTCTGAAATGAATTTACCTCAAGATTGTATTCATTTTGACGAATTTTAAGCCATGACCCACCATGTGGGTCACATTGTCCCACGTGGCAGTCATTGCGTGACCCACCATGTGGGTCACGATGTCGTCAATGTGTTAATAGTGGTTTTTTAAACTATCATGTACTGGTAATGGTGTGAAAACTGTCAACTACATGCAGTAGTAATTCGTACGAGCGGCACGTTATTGGTTTTCATACCTTCCTTTAACGAAGTGTGGCCGATCTACAAGTTTTGGTATTTTCTTTGTTTCATTTTACACGCAGTAGACTCTGCCAATCTTCATTTTTGACTTGCTAAAGGCAATTATCTGTTAATGTACACTTTTCAGATCTCTTGCCTCAAGGTGATCGCAGACGAGCCACTTATGGAGCAACTTCATAACCTCCTGCATACCAGAATGGCATCTTGGCCACATATCATCGCCGTAGGTATGTAAATACCGTCTTGTGTGTAGTCCATAAGCAATAATCACTTACATATGCATTAAGGCACACATCTTGCTCATTGTTACTTATTTCACTTTCAACTTGCTGACCAGAGCACAGAAAATGGGCAGGTTCCGAAAACTGTTAAGCTAACGGATGGACTGAGTAAAGTTTGCTGTTATATCTCTGTACGTAGAGCAAATTCAACTCATATGTAGGGCCTTTCCATTCCGGACCCGAGTTCCTCTACTCTTACGCCGACCCTTGCACAGGCAGTTCAGTGTCGAAAAGGATTCGTTTAGGTCTCCTCCTGCCCTTTTAAGTCTAGTGAAGTTGTTGACCAACACATTTTAGATGCTGTTCATGTTACTTGCATAAGCTTTATCGAGAAAAGTCGTACAGTTTTGGTGGGTTTCTCATTCGGTGGAATAGTGACAATATCTTTGACCACGACGCCAACAATGTAAGTTTCATCTCACAAATCACAACAAATAAAATGCGCTCGTGTCAGTGATCCATTGGTTTATCCATGTGGTGCGGCTGTAAATTTCTTTGCAACTTTGGAACCTGATGACGATCCGAGATCTCATTTGTGGTTTTTTGTAGCATACGGGTTAGTTGTCATCTTCAGGTGCTTTGTCTTCAACTATGTCTTTGTTTACAGTACTACTCGAGCTAAACCATTGCAATTGGCGTTGTATGAAGTAGGTTTTCCCGAAGAGGAAACCCTGCCCTTGAGTGAACGTACTTGGAACAAACCGGTGTTCTCCATCAGACTCGTGGTTAGTCTCGGAAATACTTTTAATTGTGACACCTAGGATATGTTCTTGATTATTCTGCCTTATTTCTTTACAATGTTTACTTTATTAGGTTCCCTTTCATAATTCTACTCGTTGGATATCTGCACAAACTCTTGTGCGTGACCGTGTAGAACTCAAAAGCAGCGATGATTCTACCAGAGATAGCTACAGATTTGGTTTGTGATAACTTTTCTTTTTCTTTGATAATCACAGAGTTTATCGTTGTTAGGTTCTGAAAAGGACAGATCGTTAGTGTTCTTCTCTTATATTGGCAACGATCGCCATGGAAGCAGCTTGAGGGTAAAGCTTTATTTTTGTTTAGTGTTAATCCTCGACTTATTGTTGTTCTTTATCTGGCTCATATTCTCTTGAACCTTCCAGGGTGGTCTTTTTGATCTCAATGCCTACTATTACAAACGGCTGGTACAAATCATCACGCATGACGGCACAGCTGCTCAGCAATGCGCATTTTTGTCTACTGTACACCCTACCCCGATCGCTGTTGAAGAAGATTATAAACTTGTTAAGGTAGTCACTTCGTTTTTGATTCATGCTTTTGAGGGACTGTCCAAAACAAGTTCGTTTTTCAACTCATAATAGTCTGGGTCTTGAAGAAATGCTTATTTCTCAGCATGTTTAATTTGACCATTAGCGAAAATTTAGAGCATTTAGAGCATAGTTGTGGATCCTAATTACATTACTCGATTTATCTCTAACGTTACTGATGCTGAGCAGATGTTCTACCCATCCACTTACGAGGTGAGTTCTTGGCATGGAACTGTAATTTTCATTACATGGCTTTTTCAATGTAGATGCATGTAGTGCACGTGGCGGGAGCCAAAAAATGCTACCAACTAAAGCTTCCCAGTCTCCCAAATCAGGTACGTTTTTTCTAACTGTTTATTCATGCTTTGAGAAGCAACAAATATGCAGCATATGTTCTCCAATGATATGGCGAATTCAAGCTGCAGCCATCACCAAGAATGATCTTTCTTTATTTTGTAGCTATTCTCAACTATTTGTGCCGATCTCGAGATGCATATGAAGGACGCCACATCAGCATCAACGTGGCTCAATGCTTTGGGTTTTCCCAAGAAGGACAAGCTTGTTGGAGCATCGGAGCAAGTAAGTGTTAAGGATTTTTCTTTAATGATTGATGTAATGCCATTCGTTACAACATTTTGTTCAGTATGCTGATGTTTGCTCTGTTCTTTACGCTCTGGTCAGTCATCAGCGAGGAATGAGTATTGTGCAATTCATCAAGCACAGCGAATCCACTGAATTACGTCATTTGATCGCATCTTGGATTTGGGAAGAAGTGGATAGAGCCTCAAAAAGAATGCATGAGACTAGTTCGTTTTTTTGGCGCTTTCTTGCTAAATACTCTAATTATACTCGTTGAAGTTGAGCCGCTGTTTGCGAGATTCTCGGCTCCACTTTCACCAGCGGGACAGAAGTCATTAGCTCATGTGCACGACGTCTTCGTGTCTGGTGTGCAAATACTGCGAGAATTAATCATCGCCGGAGAACGAGAGCAAGATCAGACCAGTACGTTTTATCACCTTTTTGCGAAATAAGCTTTCAGAAATATCGCTTTCTTACAGAAGAATACATTACGAGCTTAGAAGCTCAGCGTTTTGCTACGGAGAATCTGAAGTCCTATTCGCTAATAATCCAGCAATTGATGAGATCCAAAATCCTCCCTGTTGCGGAAGACCGAGAAATACGTCTTGCAATGGAGAAAGTCATTGAGGAGCGAAGAGCAAAGGCTTCAGGGTTTGTTGTCCTTGTGTAAGACTTCTTACAATTTCTTAACCTCCATTTAGGCATCAACTCTACATTGACAAGTTGGTTGTTCGCATGAAACGTAAATCTCCTGGTGAACCATTTTGGTCTGCTGAAGGTCCACAGTGGTATCCACCTGCGCTGTTGGTCAGTACGCTCAAGTCCACATGATAATGCACTTGTTTCTGAAAATTGCTAAGTAGTTTGCCTTAGAATTTGTTGGGCCCAATCTTGCTTCTGAATATTCCTGCAAAGTGGAAGGGACAGCTTCTCGCTTACTACCTTCTCGACTACACGAATTGCAAGAAAGTCACTGGAGTAATTCCAGACTCGGTAAAGTCCAGACCTTCAGAGATATTAGAAGTTTGTTCGTGTTCTAGCCTTTTGATCTACTCGATGATGTCGCCAAACAAATGCATGGTCTATTGGGCATGAACAAGGAGGAAGTGTTGAGTGTGTACAAGTTTTGGTGTGCAGATGCTGGGAAGGTCAGCTCTACTTTCGTCTCGTATACGCCAGTTTTCGCTGCTTTTTTATCAGTATCTTCTACAAAGCATGATGTCTTAGAAACAATATCATCTATAATTAGTTGTTCACTGCATATAATCCTCATGAAAATGAAGTTATTTCCAGCCATTGAGTGAGCGAGAGGAACTCGAGCGGAGTTCTCCTCGTAAATGTTTGTCTGCGGAAGCAGACATCAAGCATTTCATGAGCATACCACGCCCGCTCACTTCAGAAGAAGAGAATAAGTTGCAATGTGAGACTGCTTTCAGATTATTATGTAATTTCAAAAATTTCATTTCAGCCTTATGCAATACCGTACGCTATGGCGATTTTGCATGGCAGTGCTATCTAGCAAAGTGTCGCAGATTCGAGGAATTCAAAGAAGTCCGTGTACCAACACCAGAGAGTTTCCGCTTCGCTAATAATTCAACTCTTTGTAGCTACCTGTTCCGTCCAATGAAGACAATGAGTTCGTCTTGGATTACGAGCAGCTCATCCCGGTTGTGCGTATGCTTCGTCGTAGCAAAGATTCTTCTCCTTTGTCGCAGGCATCATGGCCATCCGAAATGAAGCAAGCTATCGAAAATTTTGGTACGATATACTCACTTAATCGTGATCAACCAGCGGTAACTTTTAAGAGCGTGAACGACGGTCTTCCATTGGTAGGTATGACGCAGAAATACCCCTTCTCAGCCGTGGGAAAACTCCAAAGCCGCTTAGTAGAAGGTGATTACCATTTGATTCTGATATCTCCGTTGCATAATGTGACAGTGTAGACAGTACGCTCCTGATGGTCTTCTCTCAAGGAAACGACAGGCGACATTTCCTCTTCAACGCACTATTTCGACTCCACCACAAACATCTGCTGAGGTTTGTCTGCATTATTTCCAAGGTCACAACAGAAAAATAGACTTAACTTCGCGATTGCATTTTTCATTCTTCTTACTGACCTGTCAGTGCGCGCCTTCTATATTATAAAAGTCGTAGTCCTAATTAAATTACACCCTAGCTTTACCAGAAATCATTGCAACCTCGGATAAAATCTTGTTTTGAAACGAAATACTGTTGTGAATACAGTGTGTGCAAGCGCACTCATTTTTTTGTGGCACATGAACTTTTGTTATTTCGCCTTTTCTCACTTCAACATAATTTGCAGTGTGATCGCGAAAAGTTTCTTCGATCTTTAGAGGACGCCAGTATCGATATGCACTCACAGTAGAGTTTTTTTCAAACATTGGCCCGTCGCATATACTTTGTTTGATCAGTTTCGCACCTATATAGTACACAACATGGCATGGCTGTTTATATAATCTTGGCTTTCCATATTTCATAGTTTTTGTATCATGTTTTCTCCACTCTTTGTGCACCTCAGCATATCCTTGATCAGATTTACCTATACAATCTCTCTCGCTTCTGTTTTAGACAGATAAAACAACGCCTGTTGCCAAACGTGCATTGCTCGATCTCAGTGAAGACGAAAGCGTTCTACTTCCAAAGTAAGCATCATATTTACGCTGAGTACTGGTTCCACATGTTTCTCGCACTCCAGGAACATCCCTGCGAATACTCTAAACACCATAAACGATATTCTGAGGACTCCACAAGCTCGTGCGCGTGCTGCTGCGCAAGCTGAATCTCAACGCAAGTGGACTGAAACCACTCCAGAAGGAGAGTTTCAGAAACCTGTTCCAAGAAGTATCTTGAAATCAGCTAAAGGTGGTAAGTGTTAACTGTTGATTTGCAAATACAATCTTTTCGTAAGTATACTTCAGTAGTGCAAGGAGCAGCTTCTCCTTCACGAAATCGTCTTCATTTTGATTTGCCATCGCCAACTCAGTCTTTACATAAAAGTCCAACTTCTACCACGCAGGAACATTTGGAGAAAATGTCACAGGTAACTTTCATCTACCTTTTTACAATAGTCTTGTTTGATTTAATCCCTTGCCCCTTTTCCTTGCTCCTTACTGTCCTTCCAGCTGCGTTACGTGCGATAGAAAATAAAAAATCTACTGCAACATTTGAAACTGTCTACGACCAATGTCTTTTGAATTCCAAATAACGGGAGTTGTGTAGACTAGGGCACCTCGCACAATGTTTATTTACTCTTTTGGTTATATCAGACGCCCATGCATGGGAGGCTGATAATGCTTTTCCTTCCGCATCGTAGAACAGCCGACATCGGTATATCAGAAAACTTACGAGGGAAGCTACCTAAGCTATTTAGCTCGCGCTTTCGGAGTAAGACACATATTTCGCAATCAGCCTGGTACGCTGATGCCAGATATGCTGTTTCCAAGTGCAACGCATCATTCGGAACAGAGTTACGAGGGCTTCCTTCCGTCGGACTCCTCCACCGGCAAGTCTAGGGGAAACTCGAAAAAGACCAGTAGAGGTCGTATGGTAAAGTGGTAAGTGTGTCGCCTTGTACGCTGAGGGTCTGGGGTTCTAGTCCTGTTGCAAGTTTTTCGTTTTGCAAGCCCTCGAAAGTGTTCATTAGTCTGCTCCTTCCTCGACGGCTCTCTTGTAATGTCGAAAGAGCCAAAGGTCTTTGACAGATAAGCAACGACCAGCTCAGGGCAGAGCATCTTCGATTTATGATAACCCCACTTACCAAGGATGCACATAGACATAATTGACCACTTGTGGATCATGTTTGGCTTTGTGGACCACTTTTGCAAAACGAAAAACTTCCAACAGGATTCGAACCTCGGACCCTCAGCGTACAATGCGAGACACTTACCACTTTACCATACGACCTCCACGTCATTGTCAAGTTTCCCCTAGACTTGCCGGTGGAGGAGTCATAAAGAAGGCCCTCGTAACTCTGTTCCGAATGATGCGTGGCACCTGGGAACGGCATATTTGGCATCAGCGATCCAGGCTGACTCCAAATATATGTGTCTTATTCCGAGAGGGCGAGCTAAGTTAGGTAGCTTCCCTCTTTAGAAGAATGGATTTAAATTTGGGAATTCTTCTAAATACTGACTCTTACTGCCGCTTCTCTAGTTAGCATCTCCGCTCCCCATCTGCTTTCTTATTCACCATCGCGCCAAAGAATAGTTGCAACAATGGCGATGGTGTGGAAAGCTGAACTCTAGCTCAACTCTTAAAGCAAGGTTTTAGTCTTGATTTTCAAGGTGGTACTCTGATATATACCAAAAGTGGCTGCTATCACAATGCTCAGATTTTAAAATACTTTGTCTCGTACACCGCCCTCTGCTCGGATGCGGGCTATAGCTGTCGCCGTTTTGATGATGTACTGCTGTCTCAAGAGTGCGTTGATATAGCCACGTGCAATAATGGAAAGTCTTATCACTTCATAGTTTTCGCGCAGCTCAGTGCTTTGCACAAAAAGTTAGAAAAGCTTTATTTTGTGGATTCGAAGTCACTGTATTCCAGCCTAACTTTGATGAGTCGCTGGATTACGAAGAAATTTACGAAAGTTCAAGTGCAACGGAAGAATGTGTGGAGATTGAACCGGAGGAATTCGCTCCTTATATTAGTCCAAGTCCCAGCGCTGAAACAGTGGAAACTGCGGCAACCGTTGAAGAACCAGTTGACTCTTTGGAAAAATCCATTGAGGTGCAGGACGAAGACGAGAGCGACGAGGGCATGGAGAAGAACGAAAGTAGTGTAGTGATCGTGGAAGCGGAGGAAGAAGCGATGGATGAACAGCATACTCCAGAAGAGCTTACAGTGCCGGAACAGGAAGGACATAAACAGAGTCAGGAGGTAATTGTGAATCCTATCGTGGAACTCGCGGAAGATCAGATCGATGAGCGGAGTGTCGAACAGCAAGACGAAGATGAGGGAATAGACGATGCTGAAAATGTTAGTGTGCCGAAGATCGTTTCTATGGCTGAAGAGCAACAGGAAGAGGAAGAAATGACGGACAATAGGGGACCTGTAATTCTGATTTCTGAGCAACGAAGTGAGGAACGCGAAGAGGAGGAGCCGGCTGCCTCTGAGAGATTGAGTTTTATCGAACAAGAAGAACAAGATGAGGAGGAGGAATATCCAGAGAGCGCATCGGTTGCTGGAAAGTCTGCTAGTAGCTACGAGATCCAAGATGAGGATGTACAGCCCACAGTCAACATCGTGCGGTAAGCGATGGTAGCACAATTGTTCATGCTCAAACTTCTCTTCAGTTACGAATCTGTCGTCGAGAGAACCCCTGGAACCACCACAAACACTGGAGATCTCAATGATAGTGAGGGAAGAGTTGAGCATGTGACTCGCAGTATTAAAATACAATCGCAGTTTGATGATGATGTAGAGGTATCTCGCTCCGTCATTAATTCTGACAACTAACTCGCAACATAAACCTTCTTCAGCTCAGAGAAGTCCAAGATGAGTATGATGAAGTTGCCACCGCATTAGCTTCTGGAGATTACGCGGGGTCGTCCCGTGAAGGGTACGTTCTCAATATATGATTACATTCATCTGATCGTTTCATTCATGAGAACTGTAGAATCCAGTCAATAACAAGTACCGATTTGAATGGGGACACTTCCACCGGACGAATCAAGCTCGTTGATTACTCTTTCCATGAATCTACTTTTGAGAGTACCCCCAATCCCACCACTTCTAAGGTTCGTAGCCTTGTAGTGTTTACTATTCGCATTTTATTCATGAGATTCAGCATTCAAGAACCATTGAGGAAAATGAAGCACGGCAAACGCTTCAGTTTGAAGACCAAGTAAGGCTATATTTACATTGCGTTGTTCATGGTGAGACGCAAACGCCTTCGCCTTTTCAGAACGATGATGAGCTGGAGGGCATTGAGACAAGTACTGATATCTCACCTCCGCGCGAGTCGAGTTCGGAGTCCACGGTCAGTCGATATTGAGTCAACACATTTTTTTATGATCCTACTCTTTACTTCACTTTTCCATGGAACTTATCAAATTTGCAGGTATCTCCTCTTCCCGAACCAGGCAAGGCGAAAACATCTCCTGCTGTCAGAGATAGGTAAGGAAGGTGTAATTTGATCCCGGTTATCTGTCATCGTAATTCAGTGAGGCAGCGCAAAGTAAAGGATTCCAAAAGATGTTGTCGCCAAAGCATGACGATCTGCCTGTTGTGCATGAGAGCCGAGGTACTTTTTCGTTTTGCATTACATCTCACATGCCTCGAAATGCGATTCTGCGTTGGACAAAACAGATTCTACGGCTAAATTATTGTCAAGAATCTCTTTTTTATCATCGAATTTGTTCCACTCGCCATTTTTTCGGTGGAAATACTACTCAGGTCTCTCTATAGGAACTAGCCGCGCAAGCTCACCCGCTTCGGTAGTGTCGGTATCATCGCACCCATCTGAGTCGGATTTACCACCAGAAATTCACACCAAACGCCGTTCTTCAAGAAAGGTAACCCTCGCGATTCAAGTGATTGAGACTCTTTTTTCTTGCAGTTGCAGGGCACTCGCACTCCGCCTCCGGCAACTCCTACGAGACACTCACAAAGGTTACGTGAGAAGGAAGCAGCGCACAGTCCTGGAAAAGTTACCGAAGAAGCAGACCAGCATCATGAGGACCACGGCGCGGACACTCATGTGGCTGGTGATTCTAGGTTCGACTGCTTGCTTTCAAGACTAATTTTCTTCTTTCTAAACAGTCTTCATTTCTTTTAGATCTCCCTCAAGGAAAAGTGAAGAGTTGCCGCACTTAACAATGTCGTTGAGAAGGTATGGCAATCATCTTAACTTCACAAGGTGTTTCATTGACGTGCTATAGTTCATGTGTTACCGATTTAGCAGAACTCCGCATGCAACCACGGAGGATGTTGTTTCACACGAGTTGCCGTCACAAAGGTAAGAGTCATAAATAAGTATATTCAATGTAGGGTGCGCTGCAAATACTTATCTTTCATGTTATGTTACAGAAAATCTCCGTCACGAAGTCGCCGTGCTGCCAAGGAGACGGAATTATCGGCATTGTACGTCAATGCTCAACTCAATCTATTTCTATCGTTTAACCATAAATTTTTAGAGAGGGTTCATCAACTCCGCCACAAGAATCTTCAGAAGGCAATATTCCTGAAACTCCGGCCACAACGAGGAGTTTGCGACCGTAAGTATTCATGTAATATGCATTATGTCATGCAAATTGACCGAAGGGGACGGATTGTTTGGGTTTATTGCGTGTGAACACGCATAATTTGTTTATTTCCTAAAATCCATTGTCGCTCATGTTGTAGACGAACGCCATCTCGAACAAGAGCGGACAGCATTTCTTCAACTCCTGGGACGCGATCACGGTAGGGCTTTCCCATATAATGAGAAAATTTCATTTTGGATGCAAGTTATTCAAGAGTATCACGCAGAACGAGTGAAAGCTCTACATCAAGTGAAGTCACAGCGAGCACCCGGAAGAGCCCTAGGTATATTATGAGTTTCATTGATTATCCTTCCATAGATTCAAACCTGCTCAACGTAATTTCTAATTTCTCAGATTTCTTGAATGTCCTCAGATTTTTTTAATGTTCGGAATCAATATCATTGATTTCGGGACAGGCATTGGCAGTTGATGAGCGTGCCAGCATGATAGGCCCGTGACGTTTTAGTTTTTTTCTGTAAGAGTTCTTCATACTTCATCAATATGATATTCTTCTGAAGGTTTTTCTCGTGACCGTATAGGGGCTTTGCACAGAGCTCCCGACATTTGTTTCTCAATCTAGCATTGATCCAGCGAATTATGGATAGTTCTGTGGACTCAGGCTGTCGCGAGATAAAGGGCAGAATAATATCTTTAGTGCCTTTTAAAACGCAACATTTATACGCCATTTCCATCAATTTTCCGCAAGCTTCATATCATACCGGCTTAGTTTATCAAAGGTAAAAACTTCAGTTTGCGAGTAATTCAAGAAATTGGGAAATGCTCTCCCCTTTGCTGCTTTCCAACAGCATAATGGGGAGAACGAATATATCGTGAAGTTGTGATTGGATTGGGCGAGGGTTTATAAGCATCCCTAAAGGAAAATGTGTCGTATTCCCATCAAAACGAGCGGCTGCATTGTGAATTGGCAACCATGCTAGTTGCAGAATCTCTCATTTCAATCACCTAGGATTTCAATCTAGCCGTTATCAAATGGAAGTGAGCATCAAACTATAATTTTTAGCCGCTCTGCTCGCAAACGTATACCCTCACCAGTAGAAGAAGAAGAACCTTCTATTCCGCCAAAATCTCCATCTAGGTAATTTTATCCACTCATCGGATTCTGTTTCATTTCGTGATTACATCATTTTCCGCAGAAGAACTCCTACGCGTTCTACAGTGGCTGCTGGTAAATCCATCCCGGAGCCAGCTGGCAAGGCCAGGGCTGCTAGGGCGTTGCAACGTAAGCCTAATCACTCCTTTTCTTATTATGATCATCTACCCTGGTGTCTACTTCAGAAAAGTTCGAAACCACGAAAAGAGGAGAGGATGCGCGCACCTACTTTGATGTAAGTTAAATCAAAGCGAGCCTCAGCAGCCTCAAATCTGGAGTCGTTTTTTTGTTTCAGACTGTCTTGGAAAAACATCGTACTGTTGGAACATCTGGGGCTAGAGGAAGCAGAAGGAGGACAAGATCAGGTGGGCATTCCGTACTTATAATATGTATAAGTAATAATAGTATAGTAATAATAATAATAGTAATTATAATATTCCGTACTTATAATATACTTATAATATGTAACATCACTGCCATTATGACGAAAGAACTTCGATTTGATTCATTGTAAAGGGTTATACGCCGTTAGCTAGAAAAACGTAGTTGAAGTCCGTCCTACAAAATTCACCTACTGCTATCTTCAAGTTAATGTCATTGGCATTGTCTCAAAGCATCTGTCTTGATTTCATATAAGGGTGCCAAATTAGCAAAGGAGTTTGTGCTAATGCAAGGACCGATTTCTACATTATGGTTCCATGCAGGAGAGTTGCTTAACGGACTCTATCAGCCACTTGTGTAGACGTTTTGAGTTTTACCTATGATTTTTCCACGCCTGGAAAGACTGTTATTAACCATGGTGATCATTCATGCGCTTCTCATAAGTCTGCGACACTTTCACTCGTTCTATGAGCTTTTAAATCAGAGTGATAAGACAGTGCACTGGGGTTTCGCCATACTGCACCGCTTCCACACCGGAGCGGAAGCGTTCACTAGAAATGAATGTATGTTCGCTGGGCATCGCATACGATATACCCGACTCGATATACAGCCTGTTCAGTGAGAGGTCACAGCTTCAGCGGTTTGGGCTCCCGCGGCTGCTTACCACGGGTAATGCGCCGCGTTTGCGGTATCCTCTGAGCATTTTCTCCCTAAGCAGCGACTCAAGGTTGAGGAAATGTTTAGCGACGCATTCGCGAATGCTGCGCAAGGCCGAGCGAGGTGGCCGCGAAAGCCCAAGATGCTGCAGGTGTGTGACAGTCTAACTGAGACCTTGTTCACGTTATGTTTCGCTCGCGACTACAATGCCGTGCAATTCTCTTGGTGCATTAGTTCCGCTAAGGTTCCGCAACGGTTACGAGCCGAGTATGGTGCTCCTCAGTTTGACTTCAATAGAGGGTTATCGTGCATAGTGAGTTATCTGATCCGCTTGCAGATTCTGAAGTAGCTGAAGTGAAGCCCTTGAAACTCAAAAAGATGGAAGTTGCAGAAGTTATTCCAGAAGAGGATGAAGAAACAGGTAAGCTGCTTAAGTTACTCTCGCATTGAACTTCAAGAAAATCTGTCTTACAGATGTGCCCGCCACCAGAGGACGGAGGAAAGCAGCAATGCAGCAGGCAAGTGGAAGTGCTGAGGTAAGATCAAATAAACAAAATGTCTCCTCAAACAAACAGAGATTGTCGGCCCTCATATTATAAATGCAGAGAGAGCCTACCTTCACAATTTGGTACCCTATTATCGGGTGTATAAGCAGTGTTCCATCGCGCGCGGACTGATGTGCGATGACTTTTGCGATGCGCGAAGCCGCACAACCAGCCAATTGCTATCTAGCTTATCTAGTAGCCTAGTGGGTACTTTCTGCTTAGTTCTTTGCTGTAAAAGCAACAAAAGGCATTGCGGGAACCGTCGAAATACCAGTAATGCCATTGTAGTCGGAAGAAAGCACAGTTTCAACACCGAAAACAGCATCGAAAACAAAAGAAAGCACCACCAATTCTAATGTATCGTCAAGCAAAGAAAACACAACCTCAACACTTGCAAAAAATCCCTTTGATTAGAGTAAAGAAATGATTATCCGCAATGCATAAAGGTGTAGCTTATATAAGGTGCGGCTTATAAGCCGAAAATAGGGTTAAAAATGACTGACTTTTACGAATGTCTAGGTAACAACGTCGGCTACACGATCACCGGCACGCTCAAAGCGCGCCTCTAGTGTGACGATCGCGGAGACTACGCCGGGAAGAACGCGAAGAACTAGTGGTACGTGTGCTTGAAATATATCTATTCTATTACCAAGTCGGTTGTCCTGATTGGATAGATTGACCGCACAATCCTCAAAGACTGACGTTTTTGCCTTAGAAGAGCGTAGTGCACCTTGTTATGCGTGTCGCACTTGATGCGTTTATAAGACCTTTTGCAATATTTTGCGAAATGCCTAGCACGTAGCAATCTCAATTGCAATGGGATTATTGTTCACTCAGTTTTATTATAATTTCTTTTTGTAGGATCATCGGTGTCATCAGTCGGTACAGCTTCTACACCGAAATCACCTAGCCGCCGTGGGCGACCAAGGAACATTGAGACAATCCCTGAGTGATATTCCCAGTTAATTTATAGCTTTAGTAACAATGTGAGTACAAGTTTCGTTGTACTGTATATGATCTTTGTCCATCAGTGCATCTGGTTCGGATGTCGCTTTGTAATAACATGGTCGTGACTTTTAATATAGTAATAAATCCTGCATTTCAGAATTTATTAGAGAACAATATATGAGATGTCGGCGTATGTGTGAAAATACCAAACAGTTACTGACCCAACTGCGATGGCTTATTCAGATCTCGGTTATTAGTTGGGCTAGGTCTGCGCCATAAGTTGAAAATCGAAAGATACCCGTTTCACGTAGTTTTTGACAAAGGCAACATTACCATCCGATGGTAATCAAGAACATCTGCATACAACATATTTGATTCCTATTCTTTCAGTATTGTTTCTCTTATATCACTTTGTTCATGGAACGCCCACCCATTAGCTGAATCAGCGAACCGCAAAACTTTTGCCATGTCCTCTTTCTTCTGCACATTCAATGGGACAAAGCTGACGAGATCAAAGCTTGCTACGACGTCACAGATTGCTGCGTTGAGGCCACGGTAGCGTTCCAGACCAGGCACTTCCTGGAAGGAATGTTTACAGTTCAACTACTGGCTTAGACTCACTGCTTACATTGAGCATCTCGAGCAACCTGCTCACGTCTGGTAACCTCGTAAAATAATCCAAATCAAAGGAAGAAGCTTCGTCAAATAAGTCAATTTTTGAGAGCACATTCACTTGCGGCATCTCCATAGTGACCATTGTAGCTGAATAATTGGCTGTGATGAAAATGTAGAAGAGTTTGGTCTTGTTTAGGTCGAACATAATATAAAAATGAGATAGTTGCAAAGTGCGGTAGTTCTTAACTATTTGACACCCTTCACAAAAGGAAGACGCATGCGTATTCCTTACTACTGTGCAGATGGTTAGTGTATTCAACGAAACCACCTCAAATTTGGAATTTGGATTGCACTAACTCCCATCTTGGATTGCACTAACTCCCATCTTCTCGAAAGCTATGTAGTAAAGAACTTTGATGTCTGGATTGAACCCAAAAACGATTTATAAGTAGGGTAGAAGAAATTAAGTCGGCAATAGGCTCTAACCGCTCACAGCTACAATCCAAACATTTCAGCACCTTACGGCTTGAAAGTTGTGCACAAAACAGAGATCGCTGGCGTGATGTCGAGTAGATTTTCCGCTTAATATAGTGTGCTTGCAGTGTAGGTGAAGTGCGGTGAAATTTGTGCATGAACAAATAGCTACGCCTGTGACGCCGGCTAGTTGCGCGCGCAGAATGCCGGCATTATTGGCGTGGCACGTTGCTCACACGCAAATTTTACTCATCTCTCCTACAGTGCAAGCACATATTGAGCGAAAAATCTTATCGACTGTACCCCTATCCCATCGAGGCGGTTAAAGCAAGATCAAACCCAAAAAGCGATGGTCATAACGTCATAAGAGGAGAGCTTTGGACAGATAGATTGTGTCTCCTAATGCTTCGCATAACGCGAGCATTCTTGTATAAAGTGGAAAAAACATAAAGACCAAAAACAAAAGGCAATTAAACTGTGAAGGAAACCACTCACCCAAAGTTGACATGACCACAGAAATAAATTTTGCGGCATCTGCACAATACAAGGAATCCACTAAATGAATGGCACATAACCGAACACCAGCTTTCTCCAGTTCATGAATGAGCTGAAAAGGAGATTAGGGTGTACCTTCAGCAAGAGATACGGTGGATTACCTTACACAGATCGCCCTCACTTTTATAGAGTTCAAGTTGTCCAGGACAGTCGATAATGAGGTACTTATCCTTGTTGTCCAAGATCTTTTGCAGAAGCCATGCTCTGTTACGGCATAGCGTATCTATGCAGTACTTCAAAGCACCATTAGGTCCCAGACCTGAATAACATAGATGATTACTGCTCCTTATTTGTTCATAGATAGTTCTTCATAACTATGATATTGGGATATGTTATGGAAAATTCAGGAAATACGGCACCAAATAAAAAAGGACGTATCGTGCATCCCGAGCATTGTTCTTATATAAATACATTGTCAAAGTGGCTGCTTTTAGATTGTTTTTACACGTTGACTCCAGCAAATATGAGGCGCTTATTTGAAGCTGACATGTTAAAATGATCGAAAACAGCCACTTTGACACTTCATATAAAAATAATTTTGGGGGATGCACGACACATGGCTTTTGTTTGAGATAATCCTAAAAAGACGTACCCAGTCTAGTCATAGCATCCTCTACCGTAATCATTTCTTTTATACTGTAATCGGTTTTATACAAGACAAAATCATTGGCAGGATCCAGATTTATAGTGATGTATGGACGATGGATCTGGTCAAATATGTCAGCAAGACCCGCAGAAAATGTTGATTTGCCAGCTCCTGGAGCACCAATGACCAACACTCCAAACATTCCTGCAAGAATTCTGTCGTCTACTAGATAGAGAATCAGCGATGAACACTTCAAAAACGGGTGCAAAAGACAATAAGAAAGTTCTTGGGACATGATAACTGAGTCAACAATATTCTTAGCCTGCGTTCATAGTGATTCCGAACTTCCTGATCAGTATGAACGCAGCCTTAAGTACCTTCCTCCAAAATTTGCTTTCAGTATAATATGCCGCAATAATGAGGTCGAATTTTTGATTCGCGGCCACAACAAATACGCGTAATTGTGCGTAGGCAGTGTGTACCCACGGATCTGCGCGCATTCACGTAAATTCCATTCAAGCATGCTGGGTTTGACGGAATGAACGCCGCAACAAATGTATTTAGAGTTTGATAGGCCTTGTAAAATTCAATTGTTCCGCGTACTTTTGTACAGCAACGCGCGGGGCGGCTAGAAATTTAGGTCCCGAAGCGCTGTGGGCTTGTTACAAGCGCGATGTTGAGCGCGATAAAGCTTCATATCCCTTGCAGACTTCCTGAGATTTCCTTCAAAAGTTTTTTAAACTTTTGAAGAAAATTTTTGTTGAAACTACAAAGATGAGAACGACATGGAAATTGACGGGAAATTTCTTGGAAGAAGCGACGACCGCTCGCTTACGCAATGTTCAAGGCACGCGCGGGCAATTTGGTTTTGCAAAGCTTATATCATCAATGGGATTTCTTTCGATCGCTTTATACGTTAACTTTAGCAAATTTAATACGCTTATTCGAAGTTGACATGTTAAAACGATCATTAGGCAGCCCTGTTGAGGGTACCCATGAAAATCTCCTCCGGCGCAGAGCGATACCTTATGGGCGGCATGCCAGATAGATAAATTATGCACGATTTGAGCACCTTTTAAGGTTTTGACCTGTTACAGTATATTTAGTTGAACATGACAAAAAGTCCTATCGCGCAATTGCATATCGTTTTCGTAGTCAGTCTATAGAATAAGCCCTTTGCACCAACTTTCAGCGATCTCTGATATTTTGAATTTGGGCCTCCTGAGTGGAAGGGTCGTTCTGTACATTGACTCTGTTTTGAAGATGAATCAAGCTTTTTCGCTAAAATTGAGGCACTGCTGCACATTGGTCCATGTCAGAAATCTCATCCTAAATAACCTTGAAATGGTCAGTTGCGCGAGAGATATTGCATTTTTATTGATGGTTACGCTTGAGCTAACGCTTGAGCAAGTGTTATTGTATGAAAGCGAGTCAGACGCAAACCACTCATATTCCAACTACAGGGTCTAGGTCACTAATTTACGTACCCTCTGATTCAATGGGATTGGCGGCTAGAAGACGGCCGCTCGCACCGCGATGCATTTCATGTCTTTCCAGCAAGCGTGCTCTCTGATCATTCCCCAGCCTGAATTAGACCTCGAATCTCCATCTTCCAGCCGTCAATCTCGTTGAAGGGATATACGTCGTCCGCAAAGCGTCAAAATTCTCTGTGTAAAATTCGTTGGGTGTTTTTTGGGCTTGTGCCAGGGCCCGGTATGAGTCCGTTTCAACGCTTTTTGAAAACCGAGTCCTCCCTGACTTTCGCAAAATGTTGCAAAATCCTCTTTGACCCTTATCAGAAACGTTGACTGAGCCTAACCTAACTTGCGTTTTTTCGGACGCGCAAAAACGATATCTCCTTCGCTTTTTCGCCACGAAAACAAAGTCCAGCCTGCCTCCAGACCATCTGTGCCGGGCTCTGTTCGTGCTAGAATCCATTTTTTCGTCACAAAGAAACTTTCGTGCGGTTCTATGTGATTCACTGGCTTGCATATGGCAGTTATTGACTTACTTACCTCCAAAGTGAAGGTGGAACATGTTTGGAAACTACCTTCACAGGTAGCTGATATCTAAAAAACTCAGTTTTTGCTCAGCTGCGGTTATTACACATGTTGGTTACAAAAGTGACGTGTATAATATTTAATTATCAGGGCTCAACTAGTAGGGCAAAATTATTGTCGGAGTGCGTGGCTAACGCCACACACTCCGACAATAATCAATTTTTGGTATTTTTTTGTGGGTCCATGACCCCGAAATATTAGAAAAAGGAGGCGTGGCGCCAACCCCGCTCCCGGAAAATTTTTTCGTAAGGCTAAATGAATTTTTTGAAGACTTCAAAGATTATTTTAATTATTTACCAAAATAAACAAGTCACTTACACATTTTTATAACTCATGTAGAAACTTTCAAAAATGTCGCGACCCATTCTTGGAATAGGGGAGGGCCGCTCCTTCCCTTGGTACGCCATTGGTATACTGTGATAGGTCAGAAGTGGATCGTCTCTCAGGTAGTTGTGCCTCTTGCTCAACCTTGATTGGGGAGCTTGATGCATAACATCAAGATACACATTCGTCCGTTTGCTTGGACCCTGATTTGACAATTCCCCATTTGTTCTTTCAAACGTCGCTCTTTTATTGTGAAGCACACATCAACATTACTTTCTACTACAAGTACTTTCGCTGAACCAAGATGTTACAAAATTGACACTTCAAGATCAGTAAAATGAGAAAGTTCGGTACGAGATACCAGAATGATGGAGGTCCATTCTATTCAAGCAGAGAGTCGAGATCCTAAGGAAGAGCTCAACGTTTGGATGCTCATTATCATTTCATATGTTAATGGGATTTTAGGATTATATTTGCACACAAAGAATGAAGCAAGCTTAGCCTTGGATATCACGAACAGATGCAACTTGCAGATAAATCTACCAGAGAAAAGTCTGGATTTTCAACTTCAAAGAGTCTGGTATTTTGAAAACTACCAGAAGATAATGCTTCCTATGCACCAGTCCAAAATTCTCAGAGAGCTCTTCCCAGTACTATTTGGAATTTGATGACGCACAACCTTACTGCTAAAAAAAGTTAATGCCATATAGTGTATAGACGAACAAGGCTAAAGTGTTGTAAAAATGATGACCAACTGTTCTACACCATCCATTGGGAGCGATAGCTTTAGGAGCTCACAATTGATGGAAAACTACTTTCTATATCCAAGTGCTCAAAAAACAAACTTGTTTTCAAATTTCAGGGAACCTTTTCGTATTCAGTTATCAGATCTTGTTAACTATCTCAGGCTGATTTCCCGTACATCAAACATAAGTGAAGGAAATGGAGCAAAGTTTGAACCATGCACCATCTCAGTTGGACTTGTTGTGGTTGAATTATACAGAACACATTTATTTATGCGAACATCTTTCCATTTGGGAAAATTTTGAAACAGATTTTGGAGTGACGGTCTTTTTTTATTTTCTAGAGTGAATAAAGAACAAAAACGTAAATCCCTTCAATATTTTTTGATTTTTTTGTCGCTGCATCTTTGCGCTAAATGAGTAATCAAATATTTGTAGAGAGTAGCAACAGTAACTCATCGCCTCCTGACGTAATTTATTACCCCTACTCACACGTCAATTCTTCGCAAGCTAGGCTTCTGATATAATTTTAGAAGAATACTGCATCACTGCGAGCTTTGGTAGCGGTTTGGGCCACAGAGCGATCAACTTCTAATCTTTGATAATGCAGTTCTGAAGCACCTACGCAAAATTCTCAGTTCATTTCCAGCAAAATCAAACTTTGATTAGTAGCACAAATATGAGCCGCCTCTTACGTAGGAATAGTAGATGGCCAGAAATGTTGTGCGAGTAAGCCAGCAGGTGGAAATTGACGAGTTTTATTCTCTGCGCTAATGGACTTGAAATTTTGATCTCACTCTCTAGCAAGCACCAGCTTTGTTTTGCAGAATCGTCCATTTTTCGCTTGACCCAACTATTATATACCTAAACCATATAGCCAACTTCTAAGCGCTGTAACGTATCATTTTCGGCGTAAAATTGGACCATTAGTTACGAAAAGGATTCTCTGTCAGCAAACATTGTACAGTTTCCATATATGTTCAACATCAAAAGTCAAAGTGGTTTGCTAACAGCACAGCTGCCGTCATTCGCAACCCACCTTGCTTCAGATTCTTCAAGCATTACTGTAATTGAGAATAATTATGTGTTCTTCTGCTGCTTATGAAGGTAGTGTTTAACTGGATACGCAAACAACACAGAGCTTGTATTTCCGGTTTGACTCTACACAGCGTTTATTCTTTGCTGTTATAGATAGCGATCATTTATTTGAACAACTAGCATATTTATTTCGATAGCTTTTTATTCCACTGATATCATTGTTATGGATAGCACTCCCACTCTTCTCTCTTCTTTCACATCTTTACAAAAAAGAATAGCGAACAAAGAGCGGCACGAGTTACATTTGTTGAATTTGGATACGAAGCCCCATTGACTTCACAAATGCTGCGGCTTCTCAGGCATTATAGGTTTTTGCTTTATTGTAATCGAAAAACGGACGCAAAAGAAGAAAAGAAGGGAATAATTGGAGAAAAAAAAAACAAATGAAAGAATATTTTTAAGTCAAGGTTGTAGCAGACGATGTTCTTGAGATTAGGATACCAGTAGATAAAACTTGTGGTGAAGCTAGTTTTATTCAGCCTAATTCCTCAATTTTCTTCAAATAATTATAAAACTTTAAGGAATTAAGTGATATTCAGGAAAATTGCGACCTCGTTAATTTGGCTGGCACCTTGCCAGTGAACTCGAATATTTGCTACATTATTCATTCACATAAGATTCATGAATTCTTTGAATTATAGGTTAAGGTCATTCACTTCCACACCATAGCGCAGTACCATATCATACATCATTCATTGTCAACAACTATTTCCCGTGGCGATACGAGAATAAAATTCACATTTTACGAAGTGTGTGAGATTCTGACTAAACATCAAGTGACAACCATGGTTCAAGAATGGACCCAACTCCTTCATAAAATATTGAGGATGTATGAAAGCACTGCAAGTTGTGCCAAAAAATGTCCCTACTATTTGATCGCTAGTATCTCTTTCGCTAAATTGTCTTTCGACGCTATTAAAGCATCATTCTGTATAGCGTAAAGCTGACTTCAACTTGGATTTACATTATAGAGCGAATCATCGATCTCTCTTCAT